GTGTGTGTGTGTGTGTGTGTGTGTGTATGTGTGTGTGTGTGAGTACATATGAGAGTGACAGCTGACCTTAGGACCCGGGACATGGATATATATTAAACAACCTTTGTGGCTTTTTGGATTTCAAGCCTGTGGGGACAGCTTCAGTCCGCCCCAAAGATTATCCTGCCAAACCCCCCCCCCTCCCTCACTGTAATATTGTATTTGTCCAGTTCAAGGCCAGACGCAGATAATCACCTGCTACCTCAGGCACCTAAGCAGAGATGTGACAGATATCCCGCACGTTTTCCCCGTAGCAGAAGCCTACAATAATATATTATATATGTTGCTAAGAGGACAAACTTTATCACAGCAAAGCAGGAAGAAACCACTCTTATCGCACAATCTATCTGACATATGTATCTTTGTGTAGGTGAGCATATCACCTCCATCATCTGTATGCATGCTAGACGATTCTGAATGAGTGCATGTTTTTGTTCGTGGTATAAGATTCAGAATAAGTCATCATTTCTTCTGTCTCAGGTTCATTAGCAGGTTGGGCCAGGAAAACAGAAATTCCTGTCATCGTGCTTGCAGAGGTGTGAAACTGCTAAATCAGCCCCCCCCTTGTTCCTGTCATGTATGATGTATCCTGGTGGTGATTCCTGTGGGGCGGATTATCACGATACAGCTTCTATTTCAATCTTTCTACATCAAAGGCGTTCAAAATGTCGCCCGGAGTCATCCTTTGCTTTCTACTCCTGCGCTGACCTCAGAACAGCCTCAGGATAGTGAACAGATGATATATCTCAAGACACAAAGGCACGTGCAAGAAGTCGCTCTGAACATGTGCAAAGTTGCTACAATGTGAATGAAAGGGTCTTCTTTGATCCGCTGTGATTACATTTCACTGATTAAAAGCTGCTGTTTTAATCTTAATTATTATTAATTAAGCTCATAGTAACAAACCCACAGACAATTATCTTCCTCTAACCCGCACCCTCTCTCTATAAGGAGAGTTTTAGTGTCTTTCAGTTCATTGTTTTGGTTTTCCCACTCAGAACCTCATCTCTCATCAACCTAATTTCCAGCTGTAGCAGGCAGCTGTTATTACTGGAACACGTGCCGATAAACCCACTGTGCGTTACCTGTCCGGCATTAAATGGCAGCTAGTCAAAATGAGCAACTGTAGTGAACATAGTGAAGCACTTAGCAGCTAAAGAGTCAGATATTTTTTTAGGAAGTTGATGGGTACCAAAAAATTGCTAAAGAGAGAGTTGATATGAACTTCGGGTGGACTCAACGAAGGCAACTCTTTTGCTAATAGTCATATCAGTTTAAATGATAATATTTCAGTGCTGTTTTTACAACATGTTTCCATTGCCTGTAACAGACCAATAATCAATTAATGCAGGTTTCGGGTGTTTTAAAAGTCCCATATTTTACACTTCTCCTGTGTTTTATTTGAAGTCTTGATCCATAAGAAGATACATTTGTGGTTTTAAGAACCAAAAATCATCTCATTGTATAGTTTTACATTTCCTCTCTCAGGTTTCTCCCTGAAACTCTAGTGAAAACAGAAGCAATGCTTTGACTGTAAGTATATGGTACACTTTCATAGGTCCCATATTGTATAAAGGAAGATGTCCATGTCTTTTCAAATTATAAAGCAGGTCTAGGTTCTATATTAATACTGTGAAAGTATTCAGAAACTTGGCCTTAAAACCAGCCATCAGGACTTCTGTAACTTTGTGATATCACAACAAAGCAGTCACAGCCTCTCCTCTCCTCTGAAAAGTCAGCCAATCAGAAGAGAGGCTCTGTTTTCTGAGTGATCAAATAAAAATATAACAAATTTTAGGTAAACACTAAGAGAAACCAAATCCTGCAAGGTTGGATGGTGGGTCCAGGTGGGTGGTCCTTGGGGCATGGCTGAGAGCGTTGACTGCTTTGTTGTGACATCACAAAGTTACAGAAGTCCTGACAGCTGGTTTTAAGGCTCAGAATACAGGCTGTGTGCATTTCTCTGTGGACTGAGCGCTTTGATACTTTCACAGTATTAATATAGAACATAGACCTGCTTTATAATCAAAAAAGATATGGACATCTACCTTTATATATATGAGACCTTTAAAGGTGTACCATATACTTACAGTCAAGTCATGGTTTCTGTTTTTAGTCATTCCAGTCAAGTAATTCTTTAATCGCTCTTTCAGAATCTACATTTTTTGTATGAATTGTAGCAAGCTCCATATTAATTGTGTCTTTGTTAAAGGACAAAAGAGCATAAAATTAATTTTCTGAAGATTGTCAGAGCAGGAGGCGGAAACACTGAGCGGCAGAATAACAACCTGCAAGCTCTTGTGACGGGACCTGAATTCCACATCTAACCATTAGTCATGATAAAGCAAAGCAACCACCTAAGTGTTCATGAAAAAAAACAAAACTACTGAAAGTATACACTGACAGTGCGTGCAGGGAGCCATTAAATAAAATGGTCGACAAAGTGAGCAACATAATGCAACAGCCAGAAGGAGAAGCGTGATATGAAAACAGGTAGAAGGGCTGATTTGATTTGGCGGTGGGAACTGCTTTTGAAAGCACAGGCATGGTTGTGTGTGTGTGAGTGAGTGTTTGTATGTAGCACTATCCCTGCTGAATGGAGACACTACCGGAGGCCCCCTGCTAATTTACATTACGAAAGAGCTGCATACACAAGCTGTACAAAATGTCTTTGAGCGAAAAACTTAATCCACCATAGAATTTTAATTCAATCTTTATGTAGTGAGGATTATAGTATTTCCAAAGAGGCACAATGAATAATCTCACTTGCTGCTGAAAATCGCTGAAATGGAGAGAATATACTGTAAATGTTATTGATCCTGGAGGGGAAATTTGGAATTTCAAAGCAGCAGAGAACAGAGGTGTCGACTGGGGAGAAATGGAGATATTGAGTGAGGATGTGATACAGGATCTAAATTAAAGTAAAAAGGGATTTATGATAAAATGTCTACAATTGTAACGAAACCTTTTTTCAGCAACAGCTAACACAAAATTTGTTCTCAGATGGCTACATATTGAAAGGTTTAGACAGAATGAAAAGAAATATAGAAAATGCAGTTCTTTTTTACCACTTATATTGCTTTATCTGTTGTTTCCCAAGCTACCAAGGGTTTAATTGAGAATCCAAGCCTGAAAAAAACAGCAGCTCCTCAAATGCCAGATAAAATAAGGAGTGAAAGCGAGGGAAAGGCCTCAGATGTGAAAGCCCAAGGGCTTATCTGAGAGGAGAGAAAGGTTCATGGAGCATTGTGCGCAGAAATGTGATGCACAGAGCCGACACAATTGGCCATTGAGCTTCACAAAGGACCGTGTCTGGTTTAGATGATGTATTTCTATCTCGACCTTCGGTGGCGTTCCACCCCTCTGAACAGGCCCCTGTTTGTGAGGGCAAATGTCAGTCAGTCAGCACCCCCTGAAGTACAGAAGCCCCTGCTCTGTAGGCAGCCCTGCATATGGTCTGACTGTAAAAAAGACAGTCGGAATAATTTAAGTAGGGCAAAGGAGAATCTTGGTTTTTGATTTACATGATGCTATAAGCAATGTTTCAGAGGGGTCATATTTTTCAGAATCAGACAAAACCTCGGTTCCCTGCTATTTGATAATTGAACCATTTTCTGGATGTCCCTTTTTCTGATAAGACCACTGTCATTTCCCCTCTGTAAACAGTAATTTAGTATGTTGAATATGATAAAAAAGATTTTGAGTTATGAACCGTTAATGCCACACCACTTGCCATCAAGGGAAAGGCAAACACGGGAAAGGGGAAAACAATGAGGGAATATGGATTCCCTCGAACTCAAGATACTAAATCTTCATCCACACCAGCCTGGAGATACTGTGTCAATCAACACAGTGCACAATTACAATTGAATGTGCTATCAGTGGGACATGTGACCCCTGGTCTATTTTTATAACAGCAGAGGGGATGACAGCATTGAATCTCCAGGGAAAAGAAGTATGTGTATACATTCTCTCACACGAAAGCCTTGGCCATACTATCCTGAGCTATATCTTTGTGGTATGTATGCTAAGCTACCAAGCACATATTGATAATGCACAACAGTGGATTAGTAACAGTGCCCCCCCCGCGCTGCTTTTGTGTAAACACCGGGGCCAAATCTTGGTCAGATATAGATAGCCTTTGTTCATTGTTATTCTCTTACTTCATGGAAGGCTTTACTGTACACAGGGACAGGAAGGTAGAAGACCTGTTTACAGTAAACATACAGACACAAGAAAACCTGCTTTGTCGTTGTGGAAAGTGAAAGCACTAAAATGTGAGGTCGTCTAAAAAATAACCTTAACACTTTAAGCCGTGAAAAAAAATAAACTGTGACCACATAAGTGACAAGAAGGAAAAATGATCACAATCGTGGACGCTCTGATAAAAGATTGTGCCAAAATATATAAATCTGACATGGTTTCATTTAAGACAAGATTTTTCATAGTTTGTGGTTCTCTGTAAAACATAAGGTCATACAGGACACTTGCAACCCGTCCTTCACAAAAACACCTTATCAGGGCTAAATTAACCTACTAGCAGCACCCACTAATTACCCAGTTAATTAATTAACATATTATATTATATCTTCTTTATTTGATCCAAACGAAATCCAAAGGGTAAAACCTTTTATATGTATGGTTTTATATACTGTATACGAACTGTTATATGATAGATTATTTCATGGCTGGGAGCAGTGAGTCACCATAAGGTTGCCAGGCAATCAGAGGAGACAGGAAGTAACTGTACCCCGCCAAGAAACCACTTTATATTCTCATATATACCCTATCATATACCATTCCTTTAAACTCTTTTCCATTCCACTTTATATTAATCAGTTAATCAAATTAGCTAATTGCCAAGCAGTAAACATGGGGGCTTTGGGGCCCCAAAAGGTGTGTGGGTCCAGTCCCTGGTTTGTAATTTAGCCCTGCACCTTATTCTTCTTCAGCCATCTTACCTAGCAGCTGCACTCCGCGCGTCAGACCATAAACATCAATCAGGGCCCAGAGGGGCTCAGCTGTGCGGACTCCGCTGAAGAACAGCATGGGGCTGGACTCATTTATGCGGTAGAAGACTCTGCCCTTCTTGTCAACCCAAAAGGCGATAACGTTGCCTTCATTGGCAAATTCCTCAGGCAGGGCCTTGGCCCAGAAGCCACTCTGGGACACAAGGTCAGGGCAGGCGTACTTGGGCAGGTTGTCTGGGTTTATCCTGGACGGGTCTTTGGAGGTGAAGCCCAGACGCAGAGCCCCGCTCCAGCAGCACTGCTTTTTAGTAATCTGGGGAGAGGAGAGCCAAGGTGGGTTTACTTGTATTATTTTGGGAAAAAAATGTATCATTTATTATTTCCTAGAAATTAGCAAAATAGTGCTGACTGTTATTTGACAAAGAGGCTCTAAATCACCCCCAACTCTCAACTGCTACCTCCTATTTGACTCTACAAAGTGTCAACCTAAGATAAAAACAGTCTGATAGTTTTGACAGTTTAAAAGCTCTCAGACCTTTCGGAGCTCAAGTGTTTCACTCTGACATAATAAAATACCTTGAGGCGGACTTGCTCATACAGCGCTATGGGCCTGTTGCTGAAGGTGATTGCGTTGCAGAAACTGGCCTGCCTCTTGACTGTCTTCTGGGCCAGGTCCATGACAATTTGGGAACCCTTGGCATTTGGATGGAAGAGGAGTGGGCTGATATGAAGGGGCCCACTGACACTGCCACACTGGATAGGCAGGCACCTCTTGGGTTTGTGATGGCATCTGTGCGACGTGGAGGGGAACGGGCCACCAAGGGAGTCTGAGGACAAAAGAAGAAAAAAGCAGAAAGAAAGATGAGTTTCTCAGTAAAAACAAAACAAAAAAAAAGTCCTAATGAGGAGCAGGAGGTTGGGGTTAGTCACTGTGATTACTATCTGATGTTTCAAATTTGATGAAAAGCTTTGCATCGCAGAAAATAATATCAGACATTACTGCACAATCTAAGATTTCTGAGTTCTTGTGTTTTGGTCTTTGTTGATTATTTGTGAGCAATGGAGTAATAAGCTAATCAGCGATAATCACACTGGGCCCTGCAGGGTGTAAATCAAATCTCCATTCAGGTCAAGACTGCATTGCAATACAAGACTGAAATTGTGCTCTTCAGTTACTAACCAACTGCAATGTTTGTGTTCCCAGACAAACAGCCCTTTAGAGAGCCAGGCCATGAGTCCTTGTGTACTGTGAGCCATTTGGATGGGCATCTGTCGCCACAAGTCCTCAGCAGAAGCCATGTGCTGACTGGCTATACTGAATGGCAATGGACTGCACTTATATAGCGTCTTATTGGCGTTTCAGAACAGAAGCCACATTCATCCATCCACACTGTGCTTTTTCGTACAAATATAGCACTTTTTCTACCATACACACTAATTCACATATCGATGATCCACCGGGTTTAATATCTCGCCTAAGGAGCCGAGAATCAAACCGCTGACCTTTCAATTAGCGACCTACTCAACCTTTGAGCCAAAGCCGCCCCATAATTATGCAGTTTCAACATATTACATACCACATACTTATTACTAACATTAATCATCATTTGGCTAAGTAAAAATTGCAATTAAGAAATTATTTTTGTTTATTTATGAGCCCAGTAAATACCAGCCAACCCAAATATTACACTCTGTCATGTGCTTCATCCTAAAAACCCAGCAGCTCTATGGCTCCTTGCCAAGAGCAGGAAGACATGCAGAGGAGGACTTGAGTGACTTGATAATTACATGCATGGGCAGTAAGAGTGTTTGAATGGAGTCTGACTGAGAGTGGCTGAAGGGGGTACGACCACAGCACTCGAGCAGCTACTAGAAACAACATGTGCTGGGGCAATTTCACAGAGCTGCTAACTGCCAGATTAAAATGGCTAAATTAGTATTCTGAAGTTGAACTGTGTTGAATTTTTTGGCTTTGACAGAGACAATCTGATACTCCTCCAACACGTTATACATTATCATTCTAGGATGGTAAATGATTCCCAGAAGTTGCAGTATTTGTGTTTGCACATTCCAGCATTTTGTGGTGAAGTGGTTTAATTTATCATTTTGTTGTGCCCACTTTCTCTCAACTTGTCTGGCATTATTTTTACATCAGTCAGTGATCCAAATTCTCCTCAGACTGCTCACCTGGATATTTTATATCCATCAGGGTTTTTACTTGTCGGCCCAGAAAGCAATAATGCTAGCAACAGCAATAGTGATTGCAGGCTGAGAGACAGAGTCCCATTCCTGAGTCAAAGTACTAGATGTCCTGCAGCTGTGATGCATTATGGAGTACTCAGGCTACTGTCACTGGAGGAATTGGTGTGTCCGTCTCGTTTGACTGATTTTCACCCTGTATTATTTTCTGGCTAAACAGAAATCCCATCTCCTCAAATCTGACGGAGTGATACATCAGCATAAACATAAGCAAAACCTTGTTGTTTCCCCTTGATGTATCAGTTATTTGATTTTATTTTTCCTTCCAATCAAACTCCAGTCAGTTATACTGCAAAGTGGAAGCATTTCAACACCAAATGTTTGGCCACCTATCTGTGGGAATAAGAAAAAGCAGACCATCAATCAAGGCGATGAAATATGAGATATACTTCTGCTTCTCACAGTGTTACAGTGTTTATGAGCGTGCTGAAGTTTCATTCCACCCTGTGGCAGTTGCCTGCTCACGAAAATAAAAGGCTATAATTGAAAATGTCAAAGTGAAATTATGGTTAATATTCAGTTTATGGTGCTTTGGACCCTATAGCTGCTGTTATAATCACAGAGAAGTGTCTGATTTTAACAGAGCCTCCTGATTCATGGAACAAACAGATGAAAGCTAACACTGTGACAGCAGCAGATGTCCTGTGGAGTCCTGATAAGAACATGCAGCTAGTCCTAGAAAACAACATGCTTTTGTCCTCCCTCTCTTTCTTTGTCTCCCTCTTTTCCCTCTCGTCTGTGTTTATCTAGTAATGGCCCTTCCAGTTTTTCACCCAGTACGTGTGTCTACCGTTCAATCTGGCCACAACCTAAGAGCATCGTTGAGGCCTTTTGTCTTAGGCAGAGCCACAGGAGAGCGGTTGTTGAATGTGGCGCACATGGTCCCAGGCAGATTGAGCTGAATGCATTACCGGGGCTCCAAAGAGACGCAGCTGCTGTAGAGGGAAAACGGGCAATGTGTGAATTCATGTTCCTTAGCAACCCCTCGTATCTAAAGGTCTCGATCAGCGCACTCTTTCACTCTGCGGCTATCAGCTCGGACACAACAGATGCCTTTTGTTTACTCAGACACAACAAAATGATATTTATAGTCTGAGATTCTTGCTTTTTGCAGCTCCACTTGTGTGTGTTTTTTTTAAGTCCATTCAAACAAAGGGGTACAAGAGTTTACAGAGCAAAACTACCATCTAAATGTATTTGTATCATTCTGATAGATCTTTTAATCAAACAATTTGAAGCATCTAATCTGCTTATTATTTTTCCTTCCACTGTTAAGTCGTGAAGATATGATGGTATAAATCACACCCACACACACACCCACCCACCCTGCTATTATTGATCACTCTTCTAATATCTGTGAGCACATTTGATTTATTAAACTGCAAAATTATTGCTCATATCGATCCTGTTCGTTCACTTCAATAGCAAACAACATTTAAAATTCTTTTGTTCAGTGATGAGCACTCTAACACCGAATGTGCAAAAACTGCAGCTGGTGAGTGTTTTGTTTACTTTCTATGTTATGTGCAAATGGTTACCAGACTTTTAGCATTTCACTGATGAAAAAAGTGAACATCCCTTCACTGAGTTAATGTGCTGACAATTACAGCTCTCAACTTTACTGTTTTGGTTGGCTCTCAACTTTGTTTGTTTTTTCAGCAAAAAAAACAAAGCTGTGATAAACCAGTTGTCCACTACCTGTTCAGATGACACTGACACGTTTGCCTCAACAACTTTAAAGGTCCCATGTTGTATAAAGTGAGATTTCCTTGTCTTTTTAGATTATAAAGCAGGTCTAGGTTCTATATTAATACTGTAAAAGTATCAAAGCGATCAGTCCACAGAGAAATGTACTCGGCCTTATTCAGAAACTGAGCCTTAAAAAAAGCCATTAGGACTTCCGGAACTTTATGATGTCACAACTATACTATCACTACCCTCAACCATCCCTCCAGCCCACCTGCACCCACCATTCAACCTGGCTGGATTTGGGAATTTGTTTCTCCGCGTGTTTACCTGAAATCTGCTTTATTTTTATTAGATCACTCAGAAAACAGTCAGCCAATCAGAGGAGAGGCTAAGAGGAGCAGGAGGAGATGTAAAACTACACTGAGATGTTTTTTTTTGGTACTTAAAACCAAAAATATAACTTCAACAAAACACTTCAAATAAAACACTGGAAAAGTGTAAAATATGGGACCTTTAAAAAGACAATATGCCAGTGATCTGTGTACTGTCATGTCTGAAGTAATAAAAATAATGATTTAATTGTTCTCTACTCTGACATTAACTGCGGGAGATCATGTCATCTTGTAGCACGTAGTAGGTGCAGCAGTACATTTTTGCTGTATGAAAACTTTTCACAGTTGTTAAGTCGTACCCTAGAGGAATAGAAGCTGAGAGGCCTTCAAACTCAACTTTCTGGCTCATATTTTATCTCCACACTGGTACCATGTAGCAACACGCCAGCACCACCCCATACAGTGTTTAGCCTGAGGTCTATAGTATGTCTGAGCACGTGACACAGAGTATGTGACAGCAAAGTATCACTTCAGCTTTGTATGTACTTTCTAAAAATTTAAGCAAAAAAAGTTTTTTCTCATGGGTGGGAAAGCAATTTTTCCACATAGCAGTTCTAGTTGTTAAGATTCAGTACGTAGTTTTAAATCCCATTTTGTACTTTTAAGTTATTAGACAGACCGCAGCAGCCTCGAGCCTGACGGCTGGTCTCAAGTCTCCAATTACCTCAGCAACACAAATCCTGGAGTATGCTCATGTCCTCGGAGCCTGAGATGTGACCCCCTTCATGTAAACGGCTTGAAACTGGCTCCTGTTAACATCAATCTGACAGCTGCCTCTTTCAAACTCCTGTTTGTGCACACAGCTTTATGCTTGTGTTATCTGGGCAAAAGCAGTTTTAACAGCCTCACAGGAGCCATTTTGCCAAAGGTCAAGGATTTCTTATTATGAACAAATAGGGTGAAAAGCTTGTATTCCTCTGCCCCGAAGTGTAGAGGTCTTTATCCCACTAATAACAACAACACACACTACACACACACACACACACACAGACACACAACAGCTCCAGTCCCTCATCACAATACACAGGCTTGTGTGCGGCTAATACCTGTCATACCCCAATGAACATCTCTGTGGAACATTAAGCTAATCTCTCGCCATTTCATTTGGCTGACGACGGCGAGTGAGAGGTGAGCTAGGCGCGTGCACATGTTTTCTGTGCATGTGTGTATTATCCACACACTTCTGTTGCTCCTCGACCATCAGCTAAGTGGTTTACCGTGCAAACAGGATTTTATAGGTGGGAGAAAAGTATTCAAATATTTGCTCAGTATTTGGTAGGCAAATGATTTCCTGGTTCCACGGAACAACTGTAAAAGCTGTTCTTGTAAAGTAAAAACACAGTTAAAATGTATCATATCGTACGGAATTGGGACAAAAACCTTGTCTAAAGGGTAAAAGGAATACTAAATTACATACAGCATATCTATTTCCTTGGTGATCTAAACTTCTTGTCACACTCTATTGTTTTAAGCAGCAAAACCCTGCC